AGAAGTTGGAAATTCAGAGGTTATGACAAGTCTCTTTGTTTTTAAAAATTACAAAACAACTCAAAAATTTAAATTATTTGTAATATATATATTTTGGGGCCCACAAAGACCACTAGCCACCATTTTGTGACTTCTGCCATCACCACCAACCAGTTTCCATACTTCCTACAGCAAAACAAAAGTCCTGCAATTTACTAGAAAAGCAAATGCTATTGTTCCTTTAGCAAGCTCTTAAGAAAGCTGATGAAGGAAAACAGATTGAATATACCTTTCCTAGACACTAACATAGCAAATTCCCTCCCAGAAGCCCAGGCACAGACCCTACCACCTGTAGGCCTTTAATTTCATATTTAATACATTTTTTAATACAAACTAGATTCCAGGAACTCTTCTAGGTTCTGTAGGAAGAAACAAATGTCAAGGTTCATGCTATCAAGAAGCTCAGTCAAGGGAGGGAGACAGACTTGTGAATTAATCAAGGTAATGCAAAACAGAATCAAACCAGAGCCTGATAGCAGTTCAAACAGTATACTATGGGAACATACAGCTATTAATAGCTATAAAGCAGTTATTAATTAATTCTGTCTGAAAGTATTAGGGAAGGTATTGCAGAAGAGATGACATATGGCTGAGCCATGAAGGTAAATTATAGGGTGGAAAAAAAAACAGCAAGTGAAAGGAGGGAGGATTTAAATAAATGGAATTAACAATAATTAATTAATAATAAATTAACTACAGGGCATGATGTTAAAAACAAGCAGGAACCAAAAAAAGTAGATCTCACCTTCCCTTGGGTCCACATGGACCTTACCCAATATTATTCATTATTATTATATCTAGCTTACGTGTTTCTTCTACACATTAATTACAAGTCCTATGAAGGGAAAAATCATGTCATATTCATCTGATGTAATTAACAATGCCTAATGTGCTGGGTACTGGTGTTCATGCCTGAAATCCCAGCTACTCAAGAAGCTGAGATCTAAGGATCATGGTTCAAAGCAAGCCTGGGCAGGAAAGATTGGGAAAGAAACTCTGGGCAGGAAAGCCTGGGCAAGAAAAAGTGTGATTCTTATCTCCAATTAACAACGAAAAAAGCCAGAACTGGAGTTGTGGCTTAAATGGTAGTGTTAGTCTTGAGCAAAGAAGTCAGGAACAGTACCCAGTCCCTGATTTTGACCTCCAAGAACAGCACAAACAAACAAGAATGTGTTATGTGTAGTAGCTGCTCAGAAAAAGTAGGTACAATGAGTGAATTTATTAGCGAACAATCAAAACAGGGATTAGGATATGTGTAGGTCAAGAAAAATCACCCATTAGGTCTGGAGATAGGAGACTTAATAGGCTGTAATATGTACAGGATGTAGATTAGAGGTTATGTGTAGTGATACACAGACCTAAAAGTATCAATTTGAAGGCCTTTAAGTATACTTTAGATTATATGAATGAGAAAGCTTCTTCCTCCTCCTGTGATTTTTCACACTCCAAAAACCTTCTAACTAATGATAAATGACGGTCAAGACAAGAAAATATATAATAAATGCTCAGCAATAGTCTTTTAAAAGACTGAATAAAAACTATCAGGATGGTGTTGGTTTTCACAAAACCACAGTATGTTCCTAACTCCCATTCTATTTGTGGCCATTACTGACCCCTGCATATTTTTCACTTATACCCTTCCCATCCTATATTTGTACTCTCTCCAGTTTAGGTCTTTAAAAGCATCTATTCTTATTAAATTTCAACCCTAATTATGATAGGCTTAGTTTTCCAATGCACTAGGTCATTCATAGCCTTATTACTATATTCCAGAAAAGTAAACCATACCAAATTTAGGGTCCACAAATTTGATACACACATTCTTAGTTTTCTTTGTCCAGAATGCCAATAAACAAGTTAAACAGACTAGCCCTAAGGACCAATCACTACTGGGCCATCACTCAATCTGTCTGTGATTCCCAGACCACCTTCATTATGCACAAATCTTCAAGCCAGATATTCAGCTTGCTACAGTAATTCAGTTCTACTTTTTCCACGTTATCTAGTGAAACAGATTACACTGAAGACCTCTCCCTGGTCTGTGGATCCAATTTTGCTGCTGTCAGATATTAAAAGTGTCTGCATGATACTCTTTACAAAACCATGTGGACTTCCCTTTAATGTGTCAGGATTCCCTGGGTGACTTAAAATTGATGTTTTTTTCTCATTTTTCCCTAAGATCAATAAGTTGGGATTTTTAATTACTAGAATCATTCTGTATAGAAGCAGGGAAAATCCTTTCTGTTTCAAAGACAGGCATATTTGCCCTTTCCTAGTCTTTAGGGACTTGCCCAGTTCTTCATGACTTCCCAAAAATAATGACCTATGGATCTATAGCCACATCTGCTAATTCTCCTAGGATACCTATCTTCAAATTTTGCTAATCAAAATCCTTCTTTTTTCCTTACCACATGAACCATCTCTCCCTTTGGTTATTTCCCAAAACACTATCTTGACTGAACTTCTTCCAGTAATGACTTACCTATGATATGTTCTAAGGAGACCTTATAGAAGACATAAATATTAGTAAGAATCTCTTCCTTCTTGATAACATTTTTCTATTTTTAATTTTTGCCAAATGTCTTTCAAAAGGTTAGACTTCACTTTTCTATACACATTACTTGTATCTTCTATCCAATTATGACTTTTCTCATTTTGTAACTTCTGATATTCCTCTATTCTAAGATCTGACCTGATTCGTACACATTATATACCTATCTTATACAAACTATTTTTATAAAGGCAAAAAATTGTATTTTGTATAAAAGAACTCAAAGCAATAAGAAAAACAGCCTTACCATTAATTTCATAGTCCAGTTCAAGGACAGAACAGAAGAGCTGAGCATATAGCTCAGTGGTAGAGCACTTGCCTAGCATGTGCAAGGCCTTTGGCTTACCCTCCAGCTAAGACAGGGATAAGGGAAAGAAACAGATACAGACAGACAAGAGACCAAAACATAAAGAGAAAGCAGAAAAGAAAAATATAAAACAAATATTCCTTCTACTAGAGGCTATACTGTCTATTAAAATATGCTGAGGTCATACATTTACCAATCTGTTTATTTCACCTTCTACAACAGTAGGGCTCATATCATGTTTATCTGAAACCTGAATGTTTCCCATAGTGCTAGATATATCACAGAAACTCAGTACTGTTTAACAAAGGACAGAATATAGGAGACCGGATACAGAATATGCTAGATGGTACAGATGATTAGTTCTACAGAGGAGGGATAATTCCTTCAGATATAGTGGCCCAAGAAGGCTCATATATTCCTTTTCCTTTCAGAACACTGAATACTTGTTTTTGCTTTACTTCTTGCCTGCTCTATATTTATTGGAGAGTTGGTTCCCTTCATTTCATTCTTTAAAATACTTATTAATATTATGAATGAAAAACATAGATGTACTTAGAACATACAGTGATTTTTATATGGTATATACTGTAGAAAATTAAATCAAGATAACATTTCTAACACCTAGTCTACTTGTCATTTTTGTGAAGACACATTTGAAATTTATTCATAATTATTAAACACTTTCCAAAAATCAGGCTAAACTCTAGCCTACAGGAAACTTCCCCTTCTAATCGGTACCTGATTCATCATTCCTTTATTTCCCACCCCATACTGCCCAAAGGTTTTAAGGTCTAATGTACTAATATAGGAAGTGGATAGGGTAAGAGTGGCTCTATTTTCCAATTATTCGTTGTTATCTGAGTCCCTGCAGTTGTACCGAAAGGCAAAAGTCATAATCCAAATAGTTACTAGAGAACTGATCATATATAAAACAAGATTTCTTTCAACATTTCATTCTGATTAACTTAATTGGCACTCCCTATTATACTAACAATTTCATTCAATTTCTGCGGATTGTGTCATATTTTGATGTGACAATAAAATTTCAGTACTATTTCACTACATGGCAAAATAAATAAATAGAGTTTTAGAAAATTAAAGACGACAGATGATGTAGAGACCTAATCAACTCAGTGCAAAGCCACTGACAATTGAGATTTTAGAAATGGCAGACCAATTAATGATTGAAATAACTGAAGAGCAGCATACAATAAACAAGAACTTCATATAAACATTACTTGAATATCAAAATTTTTTTAATGTTCCAGGACAAAAATATGCCTTCAAATGCTTTTGAAAAACCTTATCCTCTTCATGATGACATTGCAAAAGTCAAATATGAAGACTATCACCAGCTATCATATAATTTATTCTTAAACAATTCAGCCAAAGATAAGTTTTGACTCTTTCAGTTCATTCTCTAAACTAGTAAATAGTTATAACTAAATTTAAATGTTAATAAGATCAAAAGACTCTGTTGAGGCTTTTTTTTAATTTTTAAGCTAAAAACATCAATCAGGCCTTTCTTCTTTTTAATACATTTTTATTGTAAAAATACTGTACAGAGGGGTTACAGTTACATGAGCAAAGTAATGAGTACATTTCCTATCAAGCATTGTTACTTCTTCTTTTGTTCTTCCCCTCAGGCCTTTCTCAACTACTTAAAATTTTGACTTATAAATGGTTGCATTTAAAATGGGCTTTTTCATTTTAATTATTCTGAAATTATGGAGTCCTGTGTATAGTCAACTATCAATTGAGCAACTGTCTTCTCCCATCTAAAGATGGAAATTATCTAAAGGAGGGAAATTATGAATCCTGTCTTTTATTATTTGCCTCTACCATCAGCAGACTATTCCCAATCACATCCCACAAAACTTATCCTTAGTACAGAAGTATGAGAAAAACTACCATGCAAAATATGTATCAAGACTGATTGCCTGGTTTGGAAGAAAATTCTTCTGAAGGCTAGTTATGACATCAACACTTGCCCAGCATTCATGACAATACCTGAGGTTTCTTACCTAATTTGTCATAGCTCCTTTGCATAACCGGTCCAACATTTTTTGCAAGGTGTTTATTTAATTTTGTTTCATCCTACAGGACATTCTCTCCTATTACAAAAGGAGTCATCAGCGTCTATCTCCTGGATTATATCTAGGTTACCTAAAGCTATGTAGCTCTGTGGATCAGATCAAAGTCCTTGTGACCCAAAAGCTACCCAACATTCTCTGCCATGTGAAGGTCCGGGAAAACAATAACATTTCCAAGTAAGTTGTCCAGTGTTGGGATTTCCCAACAACAGCTGAGTGACCATCTGATATGAAGAAAAGTGAAGTTTTACTTGCTACTGTAGTTTCTGTGGCAGGACGTCTCACAGCACATTGGAACAGTGGCAAAGCTGAACTTTAGGATTAGATAAGAAAAGCAGTATTGATCTGCAGGCAAGGCAAATCCATTAAAAGGGCACTATCCTTTCCCATCCTCTTAGTGCAACCTTTGAAACTCAAGTGGTTAATGAACAGATGACCTTTATTTCCCATATCATTATTCCTAATTTAAAATAACTACACATTTCATTGTTCTTTGTGTATAATGTCACCTGTTGAAATGGGATTGGGGAGAACTATCAATCTTCCTGATCTTAAAGGCCTCCCACCCAGGTCTCTTTTTCCCTAGTTCTAACCTTCCAGCCTGAGAGCCTTATATGTTTCTTACATAAAAGAAAGTAACAAGGCCTTGGCTTCTGGAAGTTTGCTCCATGGTTTGGCAGTTGTGGAAGATAGTTAGCTTTGGGAAAGTTGCCCAATCTTGATAATCTGGCTCAACTTTACAACCCTAACAACAAGCCTCTGAAAGTCTTCTATTATGAACTGAATTGTGCTCAACATGAAAAGAAAGAAAAGAAAAAAGAACATGGAATAAAATAAAACTCTAGATTTCTTCAGGCTTTGACAGTCAAACTAGATTCTAAAATTCTAGTTACACCTATGGATTTTTATAACTAAAGGAGACTCTAATTGGCTTATTTAAAATTTAGTCCCTAAGCCAGGTGTCATTGGCTCTCACCTGTAATCCTAGCTCCTCAGGATGGTGAGATCTGTGGATTGTGGCTTAAGCCAGTCATGGCAGAAAAGTCTTTGTGACTCTTATTTCAATAATTAACCAGCAAAAAAGCCAAAAGTGGAGCTGTTGCTCAAGTGGTAGAACATTAGCTTTGAGCACTTCAAGCCCCAGTTCTGGCACGCACACACACACACACACACACACACACACACACACACACTAAAATGGTAAGACTTTATAATGTCTCACAAGGTTTATATGATCACAATGGAGAAGGAAATAATGATGTTGATGATCATCGCTCAGAAGAACTTACTGACCGCTCAGAAGAACTTACTGACCACCATATTTACTTTCACTTATCAACTAGACCTAGACTTTAAGTCTGCCATCTGGTGGTTGCTTCAACATTCAAAATTTGTTATACTCAGAGTCCTTAAAAGGTTACACGGTTCACTTGTGGGTTAGATTGACAACAATCATTTTCAAACATTTCTAAATTTGTGTCTTAAGGGCTTAGACTCTTAGCTTTTAGTGGTTATGCTAATAGATCTTTCCCAAAGATTCAAGGTTTGCACAAAAGATTTCAGCAGTGGTAGGTGTTTCATGGATTCTTACTGGTGATTTGTTTTCTAATTTGATTAGAGACTCTATTTTAGCAATGTTGTCCTTTAGATTTGGAAATGTATACATGTGTTAGTCATAAACCTCTCATTTAGTTCAGTATCAGTGATGAGAAAAAAGTAATAGTTTCAATCTTTTGTGAAACCAAATGTATACTCAGACCACTAAATGACTTTTTATTTTATTTTTTTCTTACTGAGGCAAAAGATAGGTTTTAGGTTTTAATATTTTATTTTAAGCTCAGGCCACAATCAATTTGGTGTTCTGACTCACAGATTTTAGCCCAAGCTGCTATGACCCTTCGGAAAGAGCCCTTGGAGCTGTTAGTGTGGGAACACAAGTCAGGACCTCCTCTTTTTCCATCACTAGGGAGGAGGGCTTGCCTTTCCTCTATAGTCTGCTCTTAAGAACACATTGCTACTCCCTGTAGAGTTTGAAGAACAAACTGGGCCAACTGTGTTTAGAGACTTGAGCTAAAATACCTGTGGAAACAATGCTGCCCAAGAGGCATTTACCTTGCTCTTTTCAAGTTCCTTTTGAAGAACAACCTTTGGGGGAACTAATCAGTTGTGCTTTCCTACCACCACCATTATTCTCCCTTCCCTTCTGTGTGACATTTGGAAAAGTTCATTAGGAAGAACTATAGAGCATGCAGAATAAAGACACAGATTAACTGATTTGGGAGGAGGATGGAAGCAGTGATGTGTGTCCTCTAGTTCCTTTTATTGAAATTGTCTGTGTTCCTGTTTGTGATTTTCCTCAAGCTTTTGGAAGGGGAAAGAAACCAAAATAGTCCCCATGATTACAACAGGGCAGAGTTGAAATGTGCCATGTGGTTTGTTGTCTGAGTTGGATCAGAATCCTGTGGTTACCCAACTGCAGAATTAACCAGCAGATGCCCCTGTGGTAAAAATGTAGACTCTAAGAAGTTGCAGAAGATCTACAGGAGAAGAATAAGGACAGTCAGGAAATTATTACAAATACTCGAAAGCTTCAATCTCAAAAACTGATCCATACAAATCAGATCTATTGTTCTTAGGTATATGTGCTTTGCTAGGTAAAGTAAAAAGTAACCTTAATTAGAAATGCCTTGTTTAAAATTCCATTTAGATTGAAAACCCCATTTGAATTTCATGAATTAAATTGATTTTTAACCTTCAAAAATTGGTCATCTAGGTTCTGGACCTTTACATTTAGAAAGTTCTGAGCTATATTCTGAACTTTTGTTATATTTCTAATTTTAACTTGACTCAACTTACAGAGAGGAGTGGGAATGGATCCAAAAGCTTTCTGGCTCTGAATCTATGGAAAGTGTGGATCATACTTCTGACTGCCCCATGCAATTGTTCTTCTATGAGCTCCAGATGGCAGTGAAGGCTCTCCTTAAGCAGATCAATATACCTCTACACCAGGTACTAGACCTTACCATTTTTATCTTCTTTTTATGGAGCACAGAAACTGTATTGTAGGGTAAAACTTACTCAAGAGGCATATGTGCAAGTTTGTTTTCATTTATTTAAATACCACTCTGCATGTACATGCACATTATGAATTTAATGCCTCCAAGTAGACCCAGCTGCACTTCTGCTTCTTTTCTCTAGCTACTTTGTGCTGGCCTTTTTAAGTTTTCCAGATCCCATTATACTGATCAACCAAGATAAAATCATCTAATATACTTCAAAAGACAACAAGGCTCAATCTCAGAATCATGAAGCAACAAGAATATGTATATGTGTGTGTGCATAAACAAAAAGGGTATGGTTATATATGCAAATAATTTATTAAAGAATAAGAGAATAATAGTAGTGGCATCTAAAGCAAAAGCCAAGTTATGTTATAATGTCTATCCACAAACCAAGATTTCCTTATCACAATTTTCTTATTTTAAATAAAAATGTAAACATTATAAGTCCATAAACAAGTACCTTTAAGGGAAATGGTTGGATTAAAAAAGAACTAGTAAAAGCTAATTCTGTGATGTTCTGTCTAAGAATTTAACATGATGGAATATTCAGCTGCCTGTGTGTGTGTATGTGTGTGTGCGCGCGCACGTGTGTACACACACACACACACACACACACACACACACACGCATGCTTTATTTCTAGAGCAAGAAAGAGAACCAAGTTTAGCAAATATTAAGAAGATAATAACAGAAGTTACTGGCTCCCTTTTAATAAGAGAGATAACTGTGATGGAGGCAAGAGAAACAATTAGAGATTTGGAAAGTATCTTTTCAATGAGATACTGCTCTGATTTTAAGTCAATACTGTAAGACCAGTCCAAACCGGTCAACAATGATGATGACTAAATTGTAAGATATATCCTAAAGAAGCCAAGGGAACAACTAAATTATTCTAGGTGTGGCCCTATGCTCACAAGGAAAAAAAATACCAGCTCTACTTGTGACAGTAGATGGTATTAAAAGGTTTCTTAGACTTCACAGGTTTGAAACAACTCATATTTCATTGGTAACTCTTGGGCTACATATACATGTTGGGAGAAGGCTGCCTAACTGCCTAACAGTACATACAACATTTTTTTTAATACTTGTAAAATTTTTTCAGTCCTTGGCCAGAAACTACATTTTTCCCCCTTAACCAACTTAAATTGAAACTAGTGGATTTTTAATTCAATCCATTTTTGTTGCTTCATGTAATTATATTCATCATTTTGAAAAGTCCACAGAATGCAATCATTTTCTACTTTTATAAGAAGCATAAATGTTGTTTTCAGAGTTTATGTGGAACATTACTGCCTTAAATCTTGATTTTATATAGCATTATTAAATGGGCTGAGCCCTAATATTTATGTTGTATAAAAATTCCAAGCTTGAAGTTGTGTAATTTTGTTAGATGTTTTATGCCAGTTTGGTGTTGTTTATGTAAGTGCCATGTTGTAACTCTCCTATTTTTCCTCCACGCGTGTCCCTCTGCAGGCAAGGAACTTCCGCCTCTACACACAGGAGGTGTTGGAAATGGGTCACAATGTGTCCTTTCTTCTCCTGCTCCCTGCCTCAGACGACGTCTGTACAGCCCCAGGACAGAATAATCCTTACACCCCACACTCAGGATTTCTTAACCTCCCTCTTCAGATGTTTGAACTTGGTATAGTAGCTTGTTTCACCTAGAAATATTAACCCAGCCTCCTTATAATAAAATCACAAAGTTATATCTGTTCCCCCTTGTCCCAGTGGAGGGTCAATAAATCACATGATGGCTTTGGCAACAACCCTTCCTAGAACTGTGTACAAGTCAGAGCAAAAGCAAAGCTCCAAGACTATGTGTCTGAGCAATAATTATTGAAATCTAGTAAAGACCCAATGGAGAAGAAGGAATTCTGGACTGAAAGTTCAGTTATCAGACTCTACTTTCTGTTTCTCCTTTGGTTTCTTAAATATAGATACAAAAACAATGTTCTCATGAAAAGCACTGCTCCTCCTTTCCTCCTCCTCCTCCTCTCTTTCCCTCCCTCTCCCTCTCACTTTCCCCCCTTCTCTCCCTCTCCCTTCCCCCCCCTGCCCTCTTACTTCCAACTGGGAAAAATAATAAAATTAAAACAGAATTTGTATCACTTTGGAGAAAAAAAGTCTACAAATATAAGTAGTGCTGATTTATTGAACAGACTCATAATTTCCAACAGACAATTTGAGAAATGGGCAAAGTCTCCCAAGATGTAACATTGTGATTTTAACATGGAGTGTTGAATGGTAGAAGATGTTCTGACTTCCAAAAATGAATAGCTTGGGCTCCAGTTTCTCTGTTTTTGCAGACCACTGCTGCCTAGTGAGAATATGAATAGGGAGACTTTGCCTCCTTTCTGGTTCTTCATTTGTAACAGGCCAGTAAGAGGCAATTAGCAAGGGCTTCATCAATTCAAATGAATTGTATAATTTGTAGAGGCTGAGTGAGTAGGTGGGTGGAATAGAAGCAGGTCCTATTTGGATTATTTCCTAGCCACCAGATTTAGAAGAGAACAAAGGAACTATCTGGTGGTTCATTTTAAGCTACAGGTATCTGAATGAATCTGACTGTATCACTTCAGGATAATTTGCTTAAGCCTTCTAGTTTCATTTGTTTCAAGCATTTCAGATGCCCAGAAGGTAATGAACAACTGTTACTTTCCAGAAAAGACTGAAGCAGACTCGCAGACTGGGACTTGAGAGTTCAGAGTCCCCTGTTGTATGACACTGGCCTTACCAATTTAGAATAGCCTGGATGTGAATGTAGACATTTAATGAGTTCCCCAGCCAAAGAATTTCATAAGTCCATGACATAACAGCATTGCTCTTATGAAATTTTGTTTAGGGCAAGTATGCTATTTTAAGTCCATTCATATCTATTTGGTCACTACAATAGAGCTGTATAGATGACTAATATAAAGGCCTTACTCTAAAGAAACTTTTAGTAGTATGGTAGGAATAAAATAAGAAAACAAACACTGGGCACCAGTGGCTCACACTGGTAGTCTAGCTACTCAGGAGGCTGAAATCTGAGGATCGTGTGCTTCCATACCAGTCCAGGCAAAACAGTCTGTGAGACACTTATCTACAAATAACCACCAGAATGCCAGTGGCTCAAGTGTTAGAGTGCTAGCCTTGAGTACAAAAAGCTCAGGGAAAAGGTCTAAGCCTCAAGTTTAAGCCCCAGGACCAGCACCAAAAAAAGAGAAAATAAATTATTTTAGAATGACGATAATGTGCCCCAAATCTTAAGTATTAAGTAATATTTTAAAATAAAAGTACATTTTCTAAAAAAAACAAACAAACAGAAAACCTTCATGAAGGGGAGTATATGTGATATGAGTATTGAAGTACTATACATGCTAATAAGCATGTATAAAATGAAAAGCTTTCTTGTTAGGGGGAAGAATGAGAAAAGACATGGGAATAGAAGAACTCAGAGTAAAGAAGTAACAAATGACTATACCGGAAAAATATGAAGAAATGGGGGTACACAAAGCTGCACAGACAAGTGGGCCACATTGACCCTTTTGAGTCAGGCTAAGGAATCTGTTTAAGCTGCAATGAAAGCCAAGAGTCAAAAGAGATTATTATAATAGTCTAGAGGTAAAGTTAGAACCAATAAAATAGGAAAGGGTATAGAAAATATAGACATGAGAAACACCAAACGTAACAAATAAGAATTGGCAAAGAGGAAAGGGAAATCTAGAAAAATATGCCTTGGTTTCAGCCTCAGTGACTATGAGGGTATTGGCACCTTTATCAAAAGTACAAAAGTGAAAAATAAGGAATTAATGGAAGAGAAGGGTGTTTTAAGCTTTGAATATGTTGGCTCTGAAGATGCTAAATCAACATTGAAGTAGTCATGACACACTTGCAGTAGCAATGTAGAATTTTAAAAACTGTGCACTGAACACAGAAGTTGTAGTCAGTATTTGCTAGTAACAGCTGTAATGAAAGCAAATTGTTTCCATAGGATAAATGTCTCATAAAGGAGCTAAGGAAAAAGTTTCACTAGAGAGCTATTAGTATTTCACACTGCCTAAGTTAAACTTATTGTTGTTCCCTGATTATAGGCAAAAATACATGAAATTCATTTCCCTGGACCTCAGTGGCCTTGGTATGAAGAATCAATAATTTGGTATCAATCATAATAGTGTTGATCAGATATAACTCTGGAGTTTGAAGACAAAAAGCTCCTGTGTGCCCTGTTTTCTGTGAGGCACACTCTCTCAAGGCAACACTCTCTGCCTCAATTCTTACTACTGTCTATTCTGTAATTTGGTGAAGCCTACTACAATTTTCTGTCTCCATCCATTTGTCCATTTATTTGCCAATAAATATTATTGAATATCCACAAACTGACGAATCAGTAACCATTTATGGAGTTCACAGCCTATATAAGTAGTAAACCCATCAATACATAATAATATATCAGAGAACTGGGGAATACAGAGAAACTAGGGTAAGGAACTACACTGGAGAAAGAGCTGCATCTTCATAAAGGATGACCTGGGAAGGCTTCTCTAAAGAAGTTACACTTAAGCGAGACTTGAGATCTCCAGGCAATTGGAATAGCAAGTGCAAAGCCCTCAGAGTAAGATAGTGCTGGGCTGAGAGATCAATATACCCAAGATATAGTAAGAACAACAGAGATAAGAGATGAGATCAGAGAGTAAATAGAAGCCACATCAGGCTGGGGGTGTAGCTTGGTAGTAGAACACTTGCCGATCATGCATAAGGCTCTGGTTTCCATCCCTAGCACCTAAAAAAAGGGGGAGGAGGGAAGAAAGAAAAGAAATGAAAACCTGACAAGGAATTTAGATGTACTTGAAGTATGCTGGGAAACCAATGAAGAGTTCTGAGCAGAATACAATATGGAAAGCTCTGAAAAATCCAGGAGATTTTTCTGAAGATTTTCCCCACTGCCAAAGAACAATTAACCTAGCATTTTCCAAATTCACTTAACCAGAAACCATTTTTTAATCTGGCACCTATTAAAAATCCACAGAACACATACTTTTGGATACAGTACCCTAGAACAATGTCTCTCAACCTTTAATATGAACAAGAATCAACTGGAAACCTTGTTGAAATATGGATTCCTAGGTCAACCCCAGTAATGCTGAATCAGTAGATATAGGAAGGAGTTGGAAAATAAACATTTTTCATAAGTTCTCAGCTGATATTGATGCAGGGCTGCTTAGAACACAGAGATAAATACATAAATACTGAACTATAGCTGAGGTTGGCATAATAATACACTAAAATCCAATTTTGCCTTTCCCTTTGATCTGTTTTATTTCTTTTTTTAAACTTATTGTGAAAATGCCGTACAGAGGGTTACAATTACATGGGCAAGATAATGAGTACATTTCTTTTTTTTTTTTTTTTTTTTTTTTTTTGGGGGGGGGGGTTCCGGTCGTGGGCCTGAACTCTGGGCCTGGGCACGCGCTGTCCCTCAGCTCTTCAGCTCAAGGCTACCACTCTACCACTTGAGCCACAGCGCCACTTCCGGCTTTTTTCTTTTTGCTTATGTGGTGCTGAGGAATCGAACCCAGGGCCTCATGCATGCAAGGCAAGCGCTCTACTACTGAGCCACCTTCCCAGCCCATGAGTTCATTTCTTATCAAGCATTGTTGCCTCCTTTGTTTCCCCTTCCCATCCCTTCCCCCACACACACCCCCTCCCCCCCAACCCTCCCTAACACCCCCTCCCTACCCTGCGCCAAAGTTGTAAAGTTCATTTTTCAACATAATGTCTTGTACATCTCATTGTTGCAATGGGTCCACCTGTATCCATATTTAAACAATTTGCTTTTTCCCTTCCCCTCCACAAATTATAACAACATCAAATACAGTGAATACAGGGGTTATACTGTGGGGGAGGTACATACAAAGCAACAAAGAAATATCTTATAAATATGCTAGAAACAATAGCAAGAAAGAAAAAACATTTGAGTCCTTATCTTGGGGTTCATGTCTCAGACATATACTAGTTATTGCAAATAAAGGAAACCATGGGACCTATGTTTCTTTGGGCCTGGCTTACTTCACTTAATATAATTTTTTCCAAGTCTTTCCATTTCCTAACAAATGGGGCAATGTCATTCTTTCTGATGGAGGCTTAGAATTCCATTCTAAAAACAATATAAGACCATCAGATACTCTCATCTATGGAAAATAAGCCACATACCAAAGCCTGAGTCTCACAGTTCCTGACTTCAAGATATCTCTCTCTAGAGTAATATATACCTTCTTACTTTCTTTGTTCTCCCCTTATTGACATATCATGGGCAATCCAACTGATTGAGGACCATGTCAACTATCAGAAAAGACTCCTTTATTGGGCTTGGTTCTACTTGCACATGAAATTCTATTAACCTCTTTTAGCCTCCTTCTAGGGACCAGGGAAAACTGTTACCAGTAGTTGGAGATTAATATACTCTCTATAAAATATTTATTTTATTTCAGTACCACCAGCAATTTTTTAAAATATTAATGGGCATTAATAAGAATCATAATTATCCCCAAGCCATCAGAGCTTTTCAAGATGAAGATTTATCATAATTTTTCCATCATTTAGGCATCACCCAACTAAGGAATTAATGGCACCTTCATAGGAACTTTCATGTACCTAATTGAG